GGGAGTAAATAAAAACAGTGGGGAGTTTATTTTTAGGCTGTTTAAGGCAGAAGTCCGTGAACTTTTTCTTAAGGCTTTCTTTGAACTTACCTTCCATTGCTATTCTTTGTAAATATATAGTGGGGTCTAAATATTTAGTAGTCAGTGTCACTGAGTAAATCATATATTATGTTTACAAGAAACAGTCCCAATATCCCTCTTCAAAGATAAAAAGGAACTGGAAAACTTGTACACAAGGAGGCTTACTCTTTGTCTCTTTGGTTAAGTCACTTAATCTCTGTGCGCGTTTCCTCATCGGTAAAATGGAGATAACAGTAGTTCCTATCTTCATGGTTTGGGGGTAAATAACATTAAATATTAAGCATTTTGGCCAGTGCATGGCCATGGGAAATGCTCTGTTTCGATGACTGATATTATTGTTACTATTAGTGTTCTTATTTCTCATGACATGAAAGAGGCCCAGAGAAAAAGAAAGGGGGCATTTGAACCGTGAAGATATACAGTTTAATCCTGAACTACCATTTCCTATATTTGTGATCTGTGGCAAATTACTTACCACTGTTCCCTTATCTATAATGTAGGAGAAACTTCGTGTTTTTGTGAGGACTGAGTGAGACATCATAGGATAATGTTTTTATGTATGTGTTAAAGAAATATAAGTTTACATATGATGGGAAACAAGCTGCTGGACAACAAGCAGCTAGAAAACAAGCTGCACCTAAATTTCCATGAGCTTAAAATATTATATTCACACTTACTTGCTTAAAATACACATGCTTGCTTTGTTTTAATTGTTTACGTAGATGACCTATAACATGTATTATGCTAAAGAAAATTTGTGAGGGGCAATCCTGATGTTTACCATAAGGGCACGAAGGAGGGCAGATTTTGCCTTAGGGTAAAACAATGGACGGTCCTGGAAAGCCAGATCATCCACTAATAGAACTTTGTTTTGGCATGAAAGCATGAGGTTTAACCCAGGGGAAATATTTGCTATCTTGAGATGTCCTGGAGGTAATAACAGGAGAGACTTAGAAATTTTGCACACCCCGAGGAGGGTGATTGTTCCTGGAAGGGATAGGCCTGAAATTAATCAGTAAGCAGAACTTAGTGCTTATTGCATGGAATGTCTAAAGCCCCACCTCTTTGATCGCAGTATTTTTCTGGACTCTATACTCCTAAGAAATATGATGTTGGCCAAGCTTCCAGCACTCTAGATCCACGAGATCTTGAGTTCCCTGGTCCCATCTTTGCTCTTTATTTTGTCTCTTTGTTTCTTAAGTTTTGGGTCACCCGTCCTCAGACACGGTCCCAAGCTGTGCTGGATGCAGCATACATGTATTCTTGAGAAGTGACAAGTGTATTAATGAAAGTTCTTTTGGATGCAAACATAAAACAATTCCAGGTAATTTAAGCAAAATAAGAAGCTCTCTTGAAAGTTGTTTGCTAACCACGCTTAGGGAAATACTGAACACTCAGGCCTGTCTTTCCTTAGTCCCTTTTCTCAAATTCTAGGCAAAGAAATCTGATTTATCCAGCTGGCAGATATCTGCATTAATGAGATACAGTGGCACAAGAGAAAGGGTATCATGAATGTGTCCCAGAAGATGTCTGGGTTGCCCTTTACTACCTGTAACCCAAGGTCCCAGTGCTCTCCATTTCCTGTGTCCAAAGCTCTTGTTTGTTCTTAGCCAACTACACATCACACCAGTTTGAAAAAAGGCCTTTTTTTTAAACCCTCTATTTTCTTGACTTTTGTGACTCTGCTCTCTTAGTTTTCTTCCAAGCTCACTTGTCACTATTTAGAATCTTTTTCTGTCTTCTTTCTCACTAAAATTTGGATTGCTTCCAGGATAAACCCACTTTTTATTCTTTCTCCATGGGTCATCTCCAATCTCATGCCATGCTGACATTGAAGTATCTATTGCAAAAATTTTCAAAATTTGTATGTCCATTCCCCATTTGCCTCTGAATTCCAGACTCACATATTTGTTAATAAAAGATAATGCAAGCCATATCAATAAACAACAAATGCTGAAGCCATCAAGTCATCAGCTGCTGCAGCCAACCACCACAGTGAAGAGAAGCAGGCAGCTTGGCCTTTGCATTTGAAAAACTGTAGGGATGGGGAAAAAAACTAAACAAAACAAAACCCAAAATGAGAAACAAAAGAAACAAATAAAACAAAATAAAAAACGAGAGAGAAAAAGTTCTCTGAGTTTGGCTTGAAAAGTTAGGTGAGGACCAGACTTTCCAAGGCCTGTGGCCATAGCACAGAATTTCTAGTTTTGTGTGGTGGGGTATCATCCAAAAGCTGTGAAGAAAAAAAAGAAAAACAAACCAAGGGTGACTCTGGAATGGAAACAAAATTCACTATGGATGATGGAGTGTCAATATTAACTTAAACTAAAATCAAGGTAATGAGAAGAGTTGAAATTCCATTGTAATTTGGTAACCTGATAAATATAACTTGTTTGTTTGTGCTTATTTTATTTACCTTTTTGAGACAATAAAGGGGAGACCAGATAGACTAGCCAAGTAGGCCGGTTAGGAGTGTTTCTCAGGAACAGTGGGAGCGATTCTTGGGTGTCTTGATATTTCCATTTATGAGTGAGATGCCCTCCACTGAACCTTTTCCACCCAACTTCCTGAAGGAAGCCCCTAACTTGCAGTTTCCGGAGAAATAATGGAAGCGCCTCACTCAATCTCCCAGGGTTTAGTCTCTTGGGCATTATGTGATCACAAACCTCAGAATTCAGCCCACGACTGTTAAAAGGCATCTCCTACTTCCAGGGTTCTTCCTGTCTGCCTCCTGAACTGGCATTGCTTCATGGTTTCTGAACTGAGAAGGGAAATGGGAGCTGGAGGCAGGAGAGGGGGATGTGCTCAGAAGAGACTTCCCAAGTGAAAAAGAAAAGGGTGGTTAGAAGGCTGAAGAGCTGACCTTTATATTATGTGACCACACAGGTGAGAAGACAGTTGGTGCTGAACAATGAAAATTCTGTGAATTTTGTAGGTTTAGCTTGCAAAACGTCAGTAGAGTGAGTAGAGGACTGTAATCTTAAAAAAAAAATCCAATGACAAGAGGTTTTTAAAAATTTAGTAAAGTGATTAAACGACAGTAAAAATTAATAACTGCTGTTCCTTTACTGGAGAACTACAGCCAATATATCAGGTTTGTAAAGAACCTTAAAATACTTAGCCAGGATTCGAAAGCCCTAGGCAAAGGGCTGGGGGAGTGAAAAGGAATTAGATCCACACAAAAGGACATGAGAAGGCGGGAGATCCGCAACATCACAGAGAGGAAGTTCCGCTTTTGAAGAGCGGGAGATTCAAATGTTATTCTGACCTATGAGACGCTACAAGGTGGTATTTTTACCAAAAACAGAGACGCGAGTTTCCCGAAACTCGCTAACCGCCCACAGACCATCTGTGTATGCTCCATAAAGATGACCAGGAAGTGGAAGTGCGGTTAGTGCTAGGACGTCAGCCCATTTTCGCTTACGCTGCTAAGAATCCTCGTACACGGGACGGTAATCAGAAAAATACGCGAATTTGCCACCCTGAAAACCGTTAACTTTCTAACTGCGTTTTAAGTACTACCTGTAAAAATAATTGGAAACGTAGCTTTCAGGAAATATCACTTGCTAGTGCACAGCTCCTACTGTGTTAAACGTGAGGTGGCTCTGAAAAGAGCCTTTGGGTTTGACCGTGCCTATGAACACGTTTACTTGGAGCTGGTGTACTTGGTGACGGCCTTGGTGCCCTCGGACACGGCGTGCTTGGCCAGCTCCCCGGGCAGCAGCAGGCGCACGGCCGTCTGGATCTCCCGGGAAGTGATGGTCGAGCGCTTGTTGTAGTGCGCCAGGCGCGACGCCTCGCCCGCGATGCGCTCGAAGATGTCGTTGACGAACGAGTTCATGATGCCCATGGCCTTGGACGAGATGCCAGTGTCCGGGTGGACCTGCTTCAGCACCTTGTACACGTACACGGAGTAGCTCTCCTTGCGGCTGCGCTTGCGCTTCTTGCCGTCTTTCTTCTGCGCCTTAGTCACCGCCTTTTTGGAGCCCTTTTTCGAGGCCGGAGCCGACTTCGCTGGTTCAGGCATTTCCAGTTTTCTCTTTCACAAACAAAACGGTGTCTGCTTTATCGGACCCGGCCTATTTGTAGGCAGTATTATGCAAATGAAGTCTTAGCTTCGCAACTGCTGATTCGTTCATTTGTCGAGACGTTTGCATGCAAATAATAAACTCGAGATCTACTCTCCTATTGGATATGTCATGAGACAGTTTTCCAGCAATCAGGCCAGCTATTTTAATCTAGTTAACCTAATTTATGAATTCCGAGTCGTTTATAATCAGATTAGTTTGCTAAATTTAAAAGCTAGAAGTCACTCTTCGCAGTATGTTGAAATACCAAAGAGGCAGAGCTCATTCACTGGTCAACTCTCAGATTTGCAAGGCCCTTTTAAACTCCTGGAAAATCTGTACCTCTTCATTTGAATCCAGACTCTAGACCAGTGACAGGGAAAGGAAGAAATAAGCTATCTACGGTCATCCAAACAATTCCGAAGACAGTGTGTCCAACTGTATCCAAAATGCAAAACTATAGCGTGAAAATACATGTCAGTGATTAAAATTACGAGGCTTGAAGAGAGGCAAGAAAGACAAGAATTCATAGCCAATACGCTGCAGTGCTTTGTATTGGAAACGATCAAATCATACCCAGTTTATCCACAAAAGTGGATGAGAAATTGTTCTTCCCTCTATGTAGTGAAAATATCAACAAAACAAAAGGAAACAAAACCCACAAAGCAACTAAAACAGTAGATCGTGTTGTTTAGCAGCTTTACTTACAATTTACTATTATCACTATTAGAAACCGGCTACTTAGCTAGTTCTTCCATTACCATCTTTCCTTTCTGTAGGGAGGTGTTTTCCCTGAATTAGACTTTGATGTTTGTAAGACTTTCTACACTGCCCCACCTTTCAGTTTCCCCTGCTGGCAGTAAATTCAGGGCAGCAAGTTGCACGTGGCAGGCTGGCAACTAACAAAGGCACAAAGTAGTTAATTTGTTTTTCTCACTTTGGTATTGAGGAAGAAATCTACTGAAGAACTATTCAACCTCTTTATTTTTCCTTATCACCAATTTAGCCCATGTAGCAATGTTTGGAATAATAGATAACATCCTTTATATGTATTATATTATTTAATCATAAAACCCTACCTGATTTTTTCCACCCTCTTACCCCAAATCCCATGTAAATTGTGGAGACAGAATAATGATTTAAGCAGTCTGGCTTGAATCTGAATCCTTTATAAGGCTCCCACTTGCTTATGGTAGGCTGTTTTAGGAAAAAAAGAAAAGTTTGTTGTGGTTTCTTCTTACTTTAGAAGCATGGGAAATAGAGCATTTCTTAAATGACTGAAAGAGACTGTTAAAAATGAAAAAAAAAAAAAAACTCCAAAAACAAGCAAACAAAAAAACCCTTTGATTCTATGATATACCTAGTCTATGGAGGAAGAGGAGAGAGAAAAATGAGAAAGAAAATTACTAGATTAAAGAAAAAATGGAAAAGGCATAGGGAGAGAGAGAGAAAAAGACCCAATGGAAAAAGAGGCAGAGGGGGAAGAGTGGGGCAAAAGGAGAAATTTATCTGGAGAATGAGACAGTATTTTGGAGAGACAAAATATAGATAAAGAAAATCAAAGAGAGAGGGATTCAGTGATTGCTATTAGCTTTATCTAGTTTTTAGTTGATATTAGCTTCACCATATCACCAACTTATTAATTTACTAGTTAACATTTTGATATATTTCCATTATAGATAAAGTTGAAAGCCACTGATTAAGAGCCAAAGCTGTAGAGTTAAATCAATACCCAATAATTTTAGGGTCGACGATTTCTCTAAATTTACTCATATTTCAGCCAACCCATGAAATTTCACCCCAAAATTTCTGTTATAATGTCTGTGGGATTGCCCTTTACCATGCTATTATTGCAAAATGAGCATATAATGAAGGTCAAGGTGTGCTGGAAGTCAAATCTTCTACTATCTTGGGCCTCAAGGTCTACTGGGAATTGAATCTTTGGCCATGTTGGTGCTCATTGCTGTTATTCTTTTAATGGGTGTGCCCTGCCCCCTTCCCTCCTGTCTCAAAGGGAACAGGCAACTAATTTAAATGTAGTAACCATGAATAGAGGCTATAACCTCTACACAGGTGAACAGATCTATATAACACTGAAGAGTGGTGAGGACTGACCC